CTTAAACAACATTTACATAAAAATCTCCTTATTGGTCAAATGTAAGTAAGGTGTTTCTATGCAATAGCGTCACATATTTACTTGACATGACCTAAGGCATATCGGCTAAAGCTTGTTCTTCCCCAAACAAAAGTATTCATTACTGATACAAGACTAAAATCTTATCTGACCCAGACATTGAAAGGTTTGCCCTAAGAACTACAGAATCATGAACTTTGTACCTATTATGTTGTCTGCTAACAATATCAGACCTACAAGAGGAAAGCCTTCTATATAACAGGCCTTTCTAACATCCTAATAAAATATTACTTAGAGAACAAATCTATAAAAAAACAGAGAAATATGAATATGAACAATCAAGAAGGAAAAACCTATATATGAAAATCTTTATATTCCCATTCATACTACACTGTTCCACTTCACCTCTTGACAGTGTGCGAAAGCTCTCCAGCCTAGCGTGCACCTTCTCTGTGTGCGTGCATGACAATTTTTAAAAAGCGAGAGAAAGAGCTTCGCTGCCTTCTCCAACGTACCTGGTAAAAGCCTCATCAGTCATTTTTTGCCTAAAGGGCTTGTCGGTTTCATCTCCCTGGGTTTTCATCAGCAAGGGAAATATACTGGACAGGCCGGCGTTATGATCTGAGACCCCGGTTAGTGCGCAGGTGCCTGTGTGATGGAAGGGGGCGTTGCGCTCGCAAGCTGACATCTGCATGCATAATGACGCTGCCTACATGACCGTCCAGTTTAAATGAGATGCAGGTGGCATGCAGAGTCCCAAGGATTTGCTGACCAGCATCATATTTAAATGGATGTGGCACGTGAACATTGATGCTACAAGCAATGTTCCCTCTAAGTTGTGGAGTCTTGTGAGCAAAAGTTCTACTTTGTGAGCTACCAGCATTATAGTCGTGAGCGAGCGATTTGGCTGCTGCATCAATTAGTTTGCTCTGGACCCATCCCTTCCTGAGCGAAGACAAAACTGTGTGAGCCAGAGGCTAAAAAAACTGTGAGCTGGCTCACACTAACTCAGCTTAGAGGGAACACTGGCTACAAGTGGGTGGCACAGTCCTGACATGGCTGAGCCCTCAAGCGGCAGAAGAGCCGCCCGGCAACTCCTCCGATCAAATCGGAACTTTGCCAGGGAAGAGCTGATGAAAGGGCTCTTGGCGGCTCCTGGGTTCCTCCCCGTTCAGGCCCCTTCTGGTGGTCATGACCCGGCCTGCTCAAGACTGATGAGAATCCCCTCGAGAGTTTTGAAATGCTGTATGAATACTGTGTGTCCTTACGGTCATGCGCTTTGGGAATGTGTCGAACATAACCGACCCCCCCCACCCCCCACTGGTGAAATTAAGGGAAACGGGCGTTCTTGCTGCCTCCATAATCACTGTACCAGGCAGTGCGAGGAAAGCAGGAAGAGATTTACAACGGCTCCCTCCCACACAGTCGCTTTGGTCACTCCTGATGGGAACGAGCGGGAGACCAAATCCTGCGGCCGGAAGAGAGGCAGACCGCGAGAGCCGCCAAGCCTCGTGAAGGTCCCTCTGATGCGGTCCTTTCGGCCTCTCTGTTTCGACAGGTGCTGTGCGGCTGGCGGAGGGTGGCCGGGTGGAGCTCTATTTCCGTGGCCTGTGGGGCGCCGTCTGTGGGGATGAGTGGACAGACAGGGAGGCCAGCGTGGTCTGCAGGCAGCTGGGTCTCAGGTAGGCATGCCTTGGGGGGGGCAGGACTGAAGCAGGGGGCCCCTCGGCACTATTTTTTCCTCCTCCGGTTAATTTATTGTATATTCTGTGTATTCAGTCTGCATCTACAACCAAACCCTGCATTTTTTGCTTAATTAAGGTGGACACCTCACGTGACCTGTGTGTTGGGGGATGGCCTCCAAAGGGTCTTTAAAAAAAAATGCAGTTGTCCTATCGCAGCTGCACAGTAGCGTCCAGCAATCACCTTCCATTTAAATCCTCGTGGTTCAGGTTTTGGGGGCTTCTGCCTGGAGGGGGAAACCCTGCCCCCAAACAGCGACATCGCTGCGTGACGTTGCCAGTGTGATGATTCACACGGAAGTGACATCGGGGCTATTTTTGGGCAGGAACGCACAGGAACGGAGTTCCGGCTGGCTCCCGAGTTGGCCACGCCCAGCAGGAACTCATTAGCATAATAGGCCACACCCAACAGCAGAAACTCATTAGGATTGGCTACATTAGGGGTGTGGGGCCTAACATGCAAAGGAGGTCCTGCTACAAAAAAAAAGGCCCTGGGTTTGGACAACAAACAAGGTAAACAGAATAAGAAGCAAAAGGTGGGTGTGTCTGGATGACCATACTTCTGGTAACATGGGGTGTGTGGTCTAATATGCTAATGAGCTGTGCTGTCAGGGGTGTGTCCTAATAAGCAAATGAATTTCTGTTGTTGGGTGTGGCCTATTATGCTAATGAGTTCCTGCTGGGCTTTTTCTACAAAAAAAGCCCTGAGTGACATGATCGCATCGGGGATGTTGCACGGCGATGCTCTGGTTTGAGGGCAAAACTATATGGTTTGAGGGCAATTTTACCATAGAGTTTTGCCCTCAAACCAGAGTGTCACTACGCGTGTCCGACATGATGATGTCACTTCTGCATGACGTCATTGCGTCGGGGGCGCTGCATGGCAGTGTTGCTGTTCAGGAGCAGAGAGCCACCCCACTCCCAGAAGGCTCCTTCCCAGTACCTGGCAGCCTTATTCCAGAGGCTGCCGAAATGGTCCTCCCACCCAAACTTTATTGCCTGAAGCATTAAAGGGAAAGAAGTTTCAAAAGCTTTCGGCTTCCCATCCCAGTGTCTCTCTTTTTACATCTGGGCTGACGATCTCCCCCGCCCCCCTTTATTTAGTTTGCATACGGCACTGAAATCCTTTTTTTATTTGCACTGGTGGTGCTTCCGTTTGCCTCTTCTACAACCCCCTTTTGAATCATTACCGGAACAAGCTCCTTTTTAAAAAACCCAAAAAACACTCCACTGAAAGCCTCATTGTGCTAAACTCAGATTGTTTGAAAAAAATTAAAAATTATAAATAGGGGGAAATGGAGCTTGTACACCGATGAAGGGTGGAGGATGGCCGATGAGTGCTTGCTTGTAGCCGTCTCACCCCCAAAAGAAGGGGTCGCGTCCTGCAGATGGGGAGCAGTGTTCCCTCCGAGCTGAGTTAGTGTGAGCTAGCTCACAGTTCTTTAGCCTCCGGCTCACGCATTTTTGCCTTCGCTCAGGAAGGAGGGCTCCAAAGCAAACTAATTGATGCAGCAGCCAAATCGCTCGCTCACAACTTTAATGCCAGCAGCCCACAAAGTAGATTTTTTGCTCACAAGACCCCACAGCTTAGAGGGAACGTTGGATGGGAGTCATTCATTTTTTTAAAAAACAAGCAGCATAAGACTAGTGCTAGACTTATGCCGTTTGTAGAGAGAGAGAGAGAGTCAGGAAAGGGAAAACTATAGCTAGAAATGTGACGGTTGTAGAGAGAGAAAGAGAGAGAGAGAGAGAGAGAGAGAGAAGACAGCATAGAGCTGCTTCTGCAGGCAGCCGTCAGCTCCCCACAAGTGCAGCGGGCCTGGCTGGGTAGTCCTCTCCTGCCACCCGGTTTAAACCTGGAGTTCCCTTCTGGCTCTGTGATTCCGTGATGCTAAGTTGGGTGGCACAAGAGGGCAGCCCAGCCGGGCTCGCTGTGCCTGCAGGGACCCGATGGCTCTTGGCAGGCGCAGCTCCGCCTGGTTTAAACTGGGTGGCAGGCAGTGTTCCCTCTAAGCTGAGTTAGTGTGAGCTAGCTCACATTTTTTTAGCCTCCGGCTCAAACTTTATAGTCTTAGCTCAGGAAGGATGGCTCCAGAGCAAACTACTTTATGCAGTAGCTAAATCCCTCGCTCACAACTTTAGTGCCAGTAGCTCACAAAGTAGAACTTTTGCTCACAAGACTCCACAGCTTAGAGGGAACATTGGTGGCAGGAGCAGGCAGCCCAGCTGGAGAGCAAAACTTGCGCCCCCATAGTCCTCCCCCTCCCCCCGACGAGGCGCCATTTTAATGTGAGGCGGAAGGTGCCGAGTGGGAGGAGCAGCCTCAGTGGGGGCTGTGGAGGAGTGGCCTCCGAGGGGCGGGGAAAGGGCAGGGAGGTAAAACCCGAGGGGAAGTTTCTGCTTTGAATTCCCTTTGGCTTGGAAGCAAAGCAGTGAAAAGGCCCGGCACAAAACCACTTTCAGAAAAGCTGAGGATACAGCAGAGGGAAAGCGAACCGAGACCTGAAGGGACAAAATTCAGAACAAACATAAACAATGCCTTCGCACACCCTCCACTCAGCACCGGCATTTACAGTTTTGCTGGCTCTTTAACCAAACTCTATCAATAATTTATTCTTCTCTTGCAGTTCATTAAATATTTACCTTTTCCCTGAATTCCCCAGCTCTGATAGGCCAGTATCAAGGTGAAGGGAAGAGGGCCGGGCTAGCTAAGGAGTCAGAATGAACCTGCTGGCAGCTCCTGTAGAGTCCCAGGGCCAGAAGGCAAGAGAAAACCCCACTCTGGCATCCTGCGGCCAGACCACTTCATTTCTACTGCCATTTCTTTCTGGGTCAGCCCATGACAGTATTTTTCTGAGTGTGTGTGTGTGTGTGTGTGTGTGTGTGTGCCACTGAAGTTAATGAATCATCACGGTTTAGGGTTGCCAAGTGGATTTTCGCTGGGAGCGGGGGGCTCCCGGCCGGCGTCTGTTGCACGCGCGCCGCATGCACGTCACCTGGAAGTGACGTGACGACGCCAGGCACGCTGGGGGCGGGGCCGCAGCCATACGAGGGAAAACCATAGAGTTTTCCCTTGGATGGCCGTGGCCCCGCCCCCAGCATGCCTGCCGTGGTGGCGTCACTTCTGGGTTACGCGCACGTCGGGGAGGAGTTCCCCCCGGGGCCCGGCGGGGAACGGGCCTCTGGGTCAGGGGTTTCCCCGCTCCCCGGGGGGACTTGGGAAGCCTAGGACAAAAACCAATGCAGAACAAAAAAAAGATAACTCCAGTTGAAAGCGGGAGTGGGGGGGTAAGGCTCCCTCTGAGCTGTGGAGTCTCGTGAGCAAGAATTCTACTCTGTGAGCGACTGGCGTTAAAGCTGTGAGCCAGCGATTTGGCCGCTGCATAAATCAGTCTGCTCTGGAGCCCTCCTTCCTGAGCTGAGACAAAAATGGGTGAGCCAGGGGTTAAAAAACTGTGAGCTAGCTCACACTAACTCAGCTTAGAGGGAACACTGGTGGGGGGGATGCAGAACGAAAGGGAAGACGTGACAGGAGCTGTGTGGGGGAACCGAGGGACGTGACCGGTGCAGGAAGGGCCTGAGGAAAATTACCCCCCCCTCCAATTTCAGCACAGCCTTCTATAAACTCAACTGTGTGGCCCCAAATGCCACAGAAGTGTCCAGAACAGCAACAAAGCCCAATACGTTTAAACTTTATGCCATGGGTTAGTGTGACAGGAAGTCACTTAGCCTGGAAATCCCCCGCGTGGTGAATGCCATCACAGTGGTTCCCGGTGATGGCTCTCCTGGCACCCGTTTGCTTTTGCAATTTACCCCTTCCCCCTAGTGGACACACACAGCCCGTTGACCTGGTCGTAGGGCGGCAGAGTGCCGAACCGGTAGAGAATAGACTGTACCCCTTCAGACTGCAGAGAGAGATTATACTTTTCAAAGTTCCCCTTAGACAAGCCCGCCTCTGAGGGAAACTCTGGAGCTGGGGAGCCACTGCGAAGAAGGTCCTGCTCTCGACATCCTGTGAGGTTTTTGATGCCGGCAAGGGGCCAAGAATTAAAGCTCCCATAAGATCTCCTGACCGCATGACGGAGTGAGCTCCCGTCTCTAGTTCCAGCTCCTGCCAACCTAGCAGTTCGAAAGCAAGAAATTGCAAGGAGATAAATAGGTACCACTTCGGTGGGAAGGTAACAGCGTTCCGTGCGCCTTGGTGTTAAGTCATGCCGGCCATATGACCACAAAAACGTCTTCGGCTTTGAAACGGAGATGAGCACCGCAACCCTAGAGTCGGACTCGACTGGCTTTCGAGCAAGGGAACCTTTACCTTTTAAGATCTCAAGAAACCACAGGTTTTATAGAAAGGTGTTTCTCCTTGGTGGCCTTTTGCCTGGCTCCTCCACGCTATCCCATTGTGGGTTTAGAAGGCTGGACCTCTTAACAGTCTGTCGCAACCGCAGCCAGCAGGGATAATGGGGCATCCCCGTACGTAAGCTGTAACTTGGCTGAGAGGCACAGCTGCAAAATAGTCGTTCTCAGGCCGGTGGCTGGACAGATCGTTTTGTCGCTGCTGCAGAAACGGAGGCTGCGGAGGGAAGCGAAAGTCGTCCGTTGCCAGGGGTTTTCGTTGTGCTCTTTACATTTTTCTCCTGCCTCACTCAGTGAAATTGGCACAGCTCGACGGGTGAGCTACTCCGGCCTGGGCCTGGTGCCCTTCCACCTGCAGTCTGCAAACTGTCGTGGGGATGAGAAGACGCTGTTGCAGTGTGGGTACCGAGAGACGTCCGGGACCTGCCTCCAGGGAGTTGGGGCCACAAACTGCGTTCCTCCTCAAGGTACATGTTTGCCCCTCATTCCAGCCCTTTGCAGTTTAACATCTGTGATAACTTAGTTGTTGGTGGTGAGGGGGTCACATTTCTGCCGCATGCTCACTCGTTTGGGTCCACTGAGGGCGTGTGGGTTTTAAAGCACAATGAATGGTTAGGGTTAGTGAACACTGTTCCCTTCCCCTCATGTTCAGCCCTGAGGGGAAACCCCCCCTCTTTTCAGTCATATTTGCAGACCAGCCACTAGAGGCCTCAGGGTGCATGAGAGGCCCAGCGGTGTGTTGTCATGATTCTGCCACATTAGCCCGCGAAGCAGACTCTGGAAAGATCTGATTGCACAAGGTGGGCAGGAAAAGAGAGAGGAGCTCTGTTCTGTTGGCTATTTATCCTGCTTTTCTTCCTCCAAGAAGCTCAGGGTGGCCTGTATGGTCCGCCCTACTCGTGTTTTTCCCCTTACAACAACCCTACAAAGTAGGTTCAGGAGAGAGCAGGGCCGTGGCTTTGGAGTGGGGCCGTGGCTCGGAGGTGGGGCCGTGGCTCAGTGGCAGAGCATTGGTGATGCATGCAATCCCAGGCAGCATCTCCCATGAAAAGGATCAGGTAGTGGGTGATGTGGAAGACCTCTGCCTGAGACTGTGTCAGAGGAGACGATACTGACCTTGGTAGACCAGTGGTCTGACTTGGCACTTATAGGTGGGTCGCCGTATGGGTCTGAAGCAGTAGGACAAAGTTTGAGTCCAGGGACACTTTTAAGACCGACAAAGTTTAATTCTGGGCATTTATTTATTTATATTTATTTATACATTCAATTTATAGCCCGCCCTCCTCACTACGCGGGCTCAGGGCGGCTCACAATCAGGCATAAGCCCGCACATAAAACACAATTAAAACCATTTAAAATCATTTCTACAATATTACAATCTTAGTAAGTGCTCTAGATGTTCCGAATAGATCTTCCATGAAGATGACGTATTAATGCTGCTATACCCCCCAGTGCCGTTTGTTCCGCTTAGCACTGTCGTTCTTCCTTCCAGGGCCAGATAATGATGGTACGATAGTGGCGACTCCTACTCATACGCCTGGTGGAAGAGCTCCGTCTTGCAGGCCCTGCGGAACTGTGCGGGGTCCCACAGGGCCCGGATCTCCTCCGGGAGCTCGTTCCACCAGGTAGGAGCCGCCACCGAGAAGGCTCTGGCCCTGGTAGCAGCCAGCCTGGCCTCCTTGGGGCCTGGCATCGCCAGGAGATGTTGCGTCCCCGACCGTAGTGCCCGTGGGGGAGCATAAGCTTTCATGTGCATGCGCACGTCATCAGACGCATTCACACGAAAGCTGATACCCAGAACTCAACTCTTTTGGTCCTAAAGGTGCCCCAGACTCAAACTTTGCTCTGTTGGTAGAAGGGAGCTCCACACATGTCTGGCTGACTTCCCCAAGGTCACCCAGCGAGCTTTGTGGCCGAGTGAGTATTTGAGCCTTGGTCTCCCAGATCTCAGTCAGAAACTGTAACTACTATACCACACTGCCCCTCCCACTCTTCCGCCTTACCTCCCTACAACCCATCATTCCAGACGATTTGGGAAGCAAACTAAACCTGGGCGGCGAGGAGGGGACTCATACCCCCCACGTGCACGGCACCCCTTTTAGTAGAAGAATCATCCCAAATGATTGTTTTTCGAAAGCCGGGGTGGGGGTGGGGATCAGGAGGAGTGTTCCTTCTAAGCTGAGTCAGTGTGAGCTAGCTCACAGTTTTTTAGCCTCTGGCTCACCCATTTTTGTCTCAGCTCAGGAAGGAGGGCTCCAGAGCAGACTAAGTTATGCCGTATCAAAATGGCTCGCTCGCCACTTTAATGCCAGGAGCTCACAAAGTAGAATTTTTGCTCACAAGACTCCACAGCTTAGAGGGAACATTGTGAGATGTAAAATTTCTGGAAATTTTGAAGCTCGGAAAAAAACCCGTTTTTTCCCCGTTTTTTTTTCCGGGGAAAAACAGAAATTTTTGGAAAAATTGAAAAAAATGCTACATTAGCATTTCTTTTGTCTTTTCTAGATTGAAAGTCATTCTGTTACTTTAGGAACATAAAATATGACTATGGACATTTTTACTTGGCATGAAATTATCACAACTAGCATATTAAAAATATAGTGTATCCAAACAATTATTACAAACAGAATACCCACCCACATGCAAACACAAAACCGAAACCTTTTTCTTTTCTTGTGAAAATAGCACCTCCTAAAGGAAGAAATGCATCTTGTTCTTGCATTGGAGAGTTCAGTTTGTAACCTAGGACATGCTTGTCCTCAGTGCACAGAAATTAGATCAATCTGATATAAAAGAAATGATTTGGAAAATATTTGAACACCTTGTCTTAAAATATTTTATTCATCATGTTGAAATAAAACGTTCCATAATCATTTTTTTTTCTTTTCTTTTTTCAATTTTTCCGGAAAAAAAAAAAGCTTCAGAAAAAAAACAGAAAAAACCCGTTTTTTTTCTGAATTTTTCCGTTTTTTTTCCGGGCCTTCACATCTCTACTCAGGAGTTAGTCTGAGGCAGCCGGTGTGGGAAGGGGCAGCCCCGTGCCTTGCACCGGTGGTGCAGATGGGTGTGTGCCGCAGGAGCCAGGGCCCTCGAAAGAAACGGGGGAGGCAGGAGGAAGTTGGGGCAGTGTTGTTGTTCTTGGCCCTTCCTCTATCAGTCTCCCCTCGCTTTCCTGAAGAGCAGGTGGAGGGACCCCGCTTCGCCTGGTGGGGGGAAAGGAGAGCTTTGAGGGACGAGTGGAAGTCTACCGCAATGGCCGCTGGGGCACCGTCTGTGACGACCAGTGGGATGACCGGGATGCTGAAGTAGTTTGCCGGCAGCTGGGCCTCAGGTCTGTAAGGGCTGGGCTGCCCTACCCGGCTTACCTTGAAACCAGCCCCCCAAAAGGATCCTCGACCTTCACGGGACGCCTGTTTTTCTCCTCTCCAGTGGAAACCCGAAGGCTGCATCTTGGGCTCACTTTGGGCAGGGCTCAGGCCCGATCCTCCTGGATGAAGTGGAGTGCTCAGGGAACGAGCTCTTCCTGGACCAGTGCGAGAAGACTAACTGGGGGGAGCACAACTGTGACCACGTTGAAGATGCTGGGGTGACCTGTGACCCCTTTACAGGTAGGGCTCCCTCCAGCACTCCGCCCCTGAAGGCGCCAGCCGAAGGGGCCCCCCTCCCTTCTCACACGTCGCACAACTCTTGCGTCTGCTTTAGCCTCGGTAGCTGTATGACTGCTCCTCGGACTGCCTGTGGTGTTGTGCTTACGAGAACCAAACAACGAGGGAATCAAACACAACCAACTTGTATTTTGCCTGCAACTGAATGTTACCCAGTTGATGGCACCATAATTTTAACTTCCATCTAATTACCCATGATTTATGTGGTAATTAAGACTTGTTGCTATGGCTTTTAGTTGCCTTAACCATGTTTGCCTGTCAAAGATCTTACTTATTAGACTCAAAGCATCATCTTTTAAAATCTTAAACAATCTGCATGTGATCTTTATATATCTGTATATCGTACATTTACTGCTAAAACATGCCTTGCTTTGATGTATTACTCTTCTCGGGTCATTTCGTAGAAAAAGAGGTGCAGGAGCTCATTAGCATAACTCATTAGCATAACTCATTTGCATGTGCCACACCCCCTGACATCACTGGAAGTGTGTCAGAAGGCAACACCCACCCCTCAGGCTCCACTGGACTCTTTTGGATTGCTAGCTATTGGGGGGGGGAACATGCAGATCTGCCCTCACAGAGGAGGGAGAGCTTGTACCTGAATAAACCTTGGCCTTAAAGGTGCCACTGGACTGTTTTGGACTGGGGGGCTGGGGGGGGGGTTCTGCAGCTTACCTGGCTGCTTCTTGCTCTGACTGAGGGCTGCTGGGAGCAGGGGGTGGGGCTTGTTGCATGTGCCCGCCCCCTGGGCTCTTTACTGCCGGAGCTCCGCTCCTGTGCGCTCCTGCAGGAAATGACCCCTGACTCTTCTGATGTATGAGTCATTTGGCTCCAGCTCGGCAAGTGATTTCCTTATTGTCAATGAGAGGAAAGAATAGAGTGAATAGCCTTCCCACTGTTATCAGCCTCTTTATGAGCATGATTCGACTCCTCTCTTCTCTCCACCTGCCTTACAGGGCCAAGAAGAGACACACAGAAAGCACGCCGGCCGTTTCTGGTTTAAGACTTTAGTGACAACTACATACACTTCCAGTGTCTCTATAGGTGCTGGGGAAAGGGTTGCAAAGTTGCTGGAGTCTTTAAAAAAGGAAGGCTGAGATGCTTGGTATTCTCACGTTATTTCAGAGCCTGCCTTACAGTGGCCGGGCAGTCTGTGGATGGTTGGATACACACTATTAAGTTATACAGATAAATTAAAATTGCATCTATTAAACTGTAATACAATAAATATATTAGGAAAGTTTGATTCATAATATATTAAATTCTTTAAAACCACCGGGTGCTATCCAGCCAATACATTGCACCCTCATTGCCTCCACTTGGGTAAATGATCGGCACTGTGATCTGTACTGCTGTGAGTAGGATGATGTTGTGTAATCTCTGGACTGCTTAATGCACCATGCTAATACTCATGCTCTGCTTCAGCTCTTTCTGGCGGTTCCAGACTTCTAACATCCTGATTCACTGGTTGTTGAATGTCCCGTTTTGCTGATTGTCCTGGCCCACTGTGTGGAATCTGCCTTGGGCCCCTGTGAGAAAGGCGGGGTATAAATACCGTGAATAAATAAGAGGGAGAGTTAAACTATTTGTTGCTACCCGCCCAGAGCCCGCTTGTGGGAAGGGCGGGATCATTTCCTGCGGGAGCGTACAGGAGCAGAGCTCCAGCAGTAAGGAGCCCAGGGAGCGGACACATGCAACAAGCCCCACTCCCTGCTCCCAGCAGCCCTCAGTCGGGCCGCGAGGAGCAAGAAGCAGCCAGGTAAGTTGCAGAGCCCCCCCCCCCGGCCCGCATTCAGGTACAAGCTCTCCCTCCTCTGCGAGGACAGATCTGCACGTTCCCCCCCCCAATAGCTAGCAATCGAAAAGAGTCCGGTGGAGCCTGAGCGGTGGGCGTTGCCTTCTGACACACTTCCGGTGATGTCAGGTGTGGGTGTCATATGCACATGAGTTATGCTAATGAGTTATGCTAATGAGCTCCTACACCTCTTTTTCTTCAAAATGACCCCTGGGTGGGATACACATTGAACAAACAAAAAACAAATAAACCAAGCATGAAAATCAGTGGGAATTAGAAGGTCTCCATGGGCTGAATCAGACATCTATTGTTGTTGTTGTTATTATTTAGATTTCTAAATCGGCCAACCCCGCAAGCGGGCTCTGGGTGATTTACAGCATTAAAACAGATAAAATACAACCAACATGATAAAATTATTACAGTGCACTAATAAAACAACCAATCCAATGTAAAAATCTGCATGAGAAACTGGACTGGATCTGGTGCAAAATTTCCCCTGGTGCTAGAGCTCTTGCAGAAGTGGAACTACAAGAAAAAGAACATGGTTGCTGTTTAGTTTGAATCATACTTATGGAGGAATTTCACATTACCCTTCTTAACCCGTTTTGAACCTGTTTTTGATCCATCGTGGAGTAAACAGGTATAGGGTTGCCATTTCACACATGGCTTTCCCCTTCCGGTAAAGAGCTTGATCTGAAGCGGTTTGCCATTTCAGACTGCACCGCTTTTTCCCTGCTGTTTTTCGCCCGCGCGGGCGATCTCCGGGTTTTTTTTTTAACGTTCGCTTTAGAGCGCTATGGCGCTATAACAAAACACTCCAGGCATTCTAATGGTGTTGCTATAATGCTATTACGTCACAGTGTTATAGCGCTATAAAGCGAACATTTAAAAAAAAAGCCAGAGATTGCCCGCGCGGGTGAACAACGGCAGGAAAAAGCCCATCGGAACCGGGAGAGGAAACTGAAGAGTACTTGGAAGCGGTTGACAAGTAAAACGCTTCAGCCCCATTTCCTAAACGAGACAGAAGCGTTTGTGTGTGAAATTACAAATATATTCCGGTAGGGAACCGGTTCTGTCTGAAATGATCCTCCTCTGCGGATCCTCTGGGAACCGTTCCTCTTCTATCGTCTGTCTGAAATTCCTCCTAGTATCCTCACTTGCATTTCAAAAATGTTGTGCAACCAATTTCTGGGTGCTATGATATATTGAGACAAATGCGCGAGGTCTTGTCCAAGTGAACTGCACTAATTCTATTTATGTGTCCACCTGTGCATCTCTGGACCAGCTGAGTCAGCGTGAGCTAGCACACAGTTTTTTAGCCTCCGGCACACACGTTTTTGTCTCAGCTCAGGAAGGAGGACTCCAGAGCAAACTAATTCATGCAGTAGCCAAATCGCTCGCTCACAACTTTAATGCCAGGAGCTCACACAGTAGAATTGTTGCTCACAAGACTCCGCAGCTTAGAGGGAAAATTGCTCTGGACCAAAGCCACTTTTCCATGACGTTTGCCGCTTTACAGTAGAAGGCTACGAGGAATCTTAAGTTCTAGGTGACAAGATGGTTGTTTTCACGATACTTCTGCAAGGCTAAGGTTAATAAAATGCTCACCTGTGCCAGGAACATGTGTGGACAGGACGGGAGTTTTCCTTACTGATCACTTGCTTATCTGTGTGTCTCACATTCCAGCAGAAGGCAGCATCCGCCTGGTTGGAGGCCCCGCCCCAAACGAAGGGCGGGTGGAGATATACCACGGTGGAGAGTGGGGGTGTGTCTGCAACGATGGCTGGACGGGCATCACGGCCCAGGTGGCCTGTAGGCAGATGGGCTTCAGGTAAGTCAGAAGTCAGAAGAAGGGATCCAATTCAGAAGAGAGCTCCTGTTGTACATATTAGATTCCCTGTCAAAAATGAAGTCAAATGAGGAGGAAGTTCTTGTATTTTATTGTAATGAAATACGGAAAACAGTTAGGCCAAAGGACCCATCAAAACTGACTGCTTTCTTCTCAGCATAATCAGGAGACATGCCTCAATTAATAGGAAAACAATTAGACCAAATAGTTAACCAAAAATTGACAACTTTCTTCTTCTTCATCTTCTTGAGCATATCCTGAACATATTCAATAAATACATGATATTTTATACATGGACTGACATCATCAAGAAAACAATATTCAAACAGCATAATTGGTTACAAAAGACAGTGGTAATTTGAGTAATAATCCTCTGATTGGCCAGATATAAAGAAACATGTATCTACGTCAAACTAAGTGTTTACTTATGGGCAAGGATTCTTCATATCAGACTAAAATCTTCTCTGACCCAGACATTGCAAGGTTTGCCCTAAGAACTACAGAATCATGAACTTTGTACCTATTATGTTGTCTGCTAACAATATCAGACCCAAAAGAGGAAAGCCTTCTATATAACAGGCCTTTCTAACATCCTAATAAAATATTACTTAAAGAATAAATCTATAAAATCCAGAGAAATATGAATATGAACAATCAAGAAGGAAAAAACCTATATATTAAAATCTTTATACTCCCATTCATACTACACTCCCTTGGAGCAAAGCTGGGTGGGTTGGCTGTGGATCCGTTCAGGTGCCACACTAACCCAGGTGGCCCCAGCATTTTCGAGCCTGGTGGGCACCTGTGTAATTTTGGAACAGCGCCTCTTCTTACCTGAGGGGGGCCCCAGCACCAGCATCAGCTCCAGGCTGAGGAGGCGGCGACGGCCCTGGGAGCCTGAGAGGGTGGAGGAGGGCCTGGGTCTCCTCCGCCGTCCCCAGCATCGCATCCCTGCCCGCTCTCCGATGCTCTGGGACCGACAAGCAGGCCCGCCCTCGCGCCTTCCTTCCCTCCTTCCCCTCTCCGCCGCGCGTCGCCTTGACGGTAGTGAAGAAAACACCGTGTAGCAGAGTAGTATAAAAGTATTTACAGTTTATTTACACTGGAGTATTTTACAGTCTCTCTGAGCCCAAATCGTGGTACTCACTGACAAGGTGCTGCGCAGACAACTGATCCCATAGACGGGATGAACAGCACTGCTCAGCACTACATTTATATGTACAAGAACCAATCACATTACAGTCATTTACATATTTGCTAAGTCATGGTGAATGTGCAAAGGCTGACGCAACCACCATGTCATATGACCACTAGCTGTCATACTTAGATCATCCTGATCTGACATTCACTGTCCACGGCAGACTGACAGCTTGCTAGTATAGATTTAGATACTGACACGCCTCTCAGCAGAGGTTTGAAGCAAATGACCGGAGAGGTTGGTTGGTCCTTCTCCCTGCTCACGACCTTCTTCCTGTAGCTGAGGTCAGCCCTAATCCCAGGAGATCTCCAGTCCGGCGGCCCTGGAACGACCACAAGGGGATCCGGGCTCCTGGCTGGTTGCTGGAGGGGCGAGGGAGGCTTTGAGAGCAGGGCCCTCTGTCATGTGCCGTGTCTTCGCTTCCTCCTCCAGGGGACCAGCCTGGCTGGGGTCAGAGGGGGAGTTTCCTCCGGGCCAAGGATTCATCTTGCTGGACGACATGGCCTGTGTGGGCACGGAGCTCTCTCTCCTGGACTGCTCCCACAGCAACTGGGGCCAGCACGACTGCTCACATGAGGAGGACGTGGGGGTTCACTGCTCCCCTGAGAACAACAAGGTGACAGAGGAGGCACCAGGTAACGTACCACAGAGGGGTGTGTGTGTGTGTGTGCCAACCTCTACAAAGCAGGGTTGCCAACCTCCAGGTGGCGGCTGGAGATCAACAGGGATTTCAGCTGGTCTCCAGGTGACCGTGATCGGTCCTCCACCCTCCTCTGGCTCCATCCCCGTAATCTCCAGGCATTTGCCAACCCAGAGCTGGCAGCCCTAGGGATGTGAGAAGGGAAAGTGCCCCTTTCTCGTGTGCCTCTTTTAATGCAATAAAGCAGAGGTTGAGTCCAGCGGCACCTTTAAGACCATCAAATTTTTATTCTGGGTACAAGCTTTTGTGTGCACTTCTTCAGATACATTGAAACAGAAGTCACCAACCATGACATATAGGTAGTCTGTTTCTGAAGTTCCTTTGCAACAAAAGTTTGCAAAAAAAATGAGGAACTTTGGAAACAGACTAGAATGGGAGACTGCTGAATTACAAGTTATTACAACACTCAGGACAATGGAACTCCCAGGGCTTAACAGAGATATCGGTTTCTTATCTCACTACACATGCTAATGTCATTCAGTTCTCACATCTGCTTGCAAACGTATTGCTATTCACAGGTCTTACCAATCGCCTCCATCCAGTCTTAGCTGCATTTACTGCTCAGTTACTTATGCATCTTGACTCTAATTGGCCCTTTCTGGCAACAGTGTCCTCAGCCTCTACCTATATGGAATGGTTGGTGACTTCTGTTCCAATGTATCTGAAGAAGTGTGCATGCACACATACCTAGAATAAAACTTTGTTGGTCTTAAAGGTTCCACTGGACTCAAACTTTGTTTTAATGTCCTAGTAAAGGTAAAGGTTCCCTTGCTCAAAAGCCAGTTGAATCCGACTCTATGGTTGCGGTGCTCATCTCCGTTTCAAAGCCAAAGAGCCAGCGCTGTCCAAAGACGTTTCCGTGGTCATGTGGCCAGCATGACTGAACACCAAGGCACACGGAACGCTGTTACCTTCTTCCCACCGAAGCGGTACCTATTTATCTACTTGCAATGTCTTGCTTTCGAACTGCTAGGTTGGCAGGAGCTGGAACTAGAGACGGGAGCTCACTCCGTCATGCAGCACACTCGGGTCTTGAACTGCTGAACTGCCGACCTTCCACAGCCTGCAGTTCAGCATCTTAACCACTTGAGCCACCGCAGTTCCTGTCCTAGTAATGTCCTAGTAAGACCCTAGTTTTTACCCAGGAATGACTTCATAGGGCAAATTAGTGATGCTGCCTACCCCCTTTTCTGTCTGGCTGATGAACTGATTGGTGGCGGGCAGTTGTGTGCATTGGCAGGGTGACCACCTTAACCCCAGTCTTAGTCTGCCAACACCTTTGGGTATGGGCGGCACCCTGCTGTGCCAGCCCTGCTCTGTCCAGTGGTTCACACTGTCTTCTGCCTGTCTTGACCATCACCCAGGACTCCCTGTGCGACTGGTGGATGGGGAGAGCACCAAAGAGGGGCGTGTGGAGGTCTTCCTGAACGGGCAGTGGGGCAGCATCTGCGACGATGGCTGGACAGACAGAGACGCAGTGGTGGTCTGCAGGCAGCTGGGTTACAGGTAAGAAGGTCAGAAAGGCGCGGCTGAAAGGCAGCCCTGGTAGAGGTTGCTACCTCTGGGCAGGGAAATTTCTGGAGATTTGGGGGTGGGTTGCATGGGGTGATATAATGCCACGGAGTCCACCTTCCAGAGCAGACATTTTCTCCAGGGGAACTGTCATCTGGAGGTGGCTTGTAATCCCAAGAGGTCTCCAGGTCCCACCTGGAGGGTGGCAACCCTAAGCTCCTGCCAGCTCCTAGATTTTCTGAGCATTGCTGGGAGAAAGCAGGCAGCACAAGCCTTGCCGTGGCCGGCATCCCTCCCCTCGCGCCCAATGCCAGACATGTTGCAGGGTCTCCTGGCTGAGAGCCAGTTTGGTGTAGTGGTTAAGTGTGCGGACTCTAATCTGGGAGAACCGGGTTTGATTCCCCACTCCTCCTCCACTTGCACCTGGCTGGATGACCTTGGGCAAGCCGTAGTTCTGATAAGAGCTGTTCTTGAAAAAGAGCAGCTTCTGTCCAGAGCTCTCTCAGCTCCTCCTAACCTCACAGGGTGTCTGTGGTGGGGAGGGGAAGGGAAAAGGAGTTTGGAAGCCGCTCTGAGACACCTTTGGGTAGTGAAGGGCCATGGGGTATAAATCCAATCTCCTCCTCCTCCACCTGTTGCAGAGGCCCCTGCTGCAGTGACGGTGACACCTTCTCACAGCCCGGGGCCGTTGGTCTATTCATGGGGCCTCTTGGGGCCCGGGACTCGGCTGTCGGCCGACCACGGCAACTCCTGGTGGCTGGCTGGACTCGGAGCGGCACTCTCCTTGGCCGGAGTAGGCTCGTGCGGGCCGCTCTGAGCTCGGGTGGACGCTGCGGGACCTAGACTGCCGCCCTCCCTCAGCACCAAGTGTGGAGGTTGCTGCAGAGCTGCTGAGCTGCGGAAGTGGAGGGTACCTGGACCAGGTTTGGGGCTGTGCCGGGCACTTTGAGTGAGGGGAAGGCACGGGAGGACGGGAGAGCCTTGCTAGGGGTGGACTTGGAAGGCTCCGAGGATCCACGGAGACCAGGCCCGCAGAGGACAGTGGGAGGCCTGAAGGCAGCTCAGTGCTTCGAAGGGTCACGTGAGAATCTGGAGATGGCGGCAGGGAAGACTCGGAGGGGACAGGGAGCTGGAGGGAATGGGCAACGTAGAGGGCTGGTGCTCTGTTGCCCGAGTGCCGCTGCTGAAAACCCGGTCACCTGGCCTGCTCTCAGTTGAAGTTTAGCATCATGGACAGAACTGACGGGCAGATGAAATGTCCATCGAAATCACTGCCCAGGCCGGCTGGGCCAGGAACAGCAAGAGGCCAGTCCAGCTGTTAGAGTGAGAACTGCCCGACAGTGGGACCCCCTTCATCACTGCTGTTGTTCAATGCCAGGTCTATCGATAATAAGACTGTGACACTGCGCAGTTATATAACTGTCGACCTGGCGTGTGTGACCGAAACCTAGACTCGGGACAGCAAGACAGTCACCTTGAAAGTGCTTAACACCCCCCCACCCCCCCGGTCAGCTATGCTGCCATGGGAGTTGGGGAGTTCATTCTGTGTCTTGTTAATTGCATTCCTATCCCTGCTGTCCTGCCTTTGCTGAAACGCTTATCTCTACAGATGTGCAGGAGGAGGTTGTATTGTCTGGAAGTCTCCCCTCTACCGTGAGAGACTCCTGGTTCCCAGCTTCAGCCACCTAACGGGCTCCTAACTTATCCCGCGTGCGGGAGGGTACCTAATTGGCCCATGCCATGGGGTGTGTGTGTGTGCATACGAATACCATATATCCTATTAGGTTCTGTTGGTTGCCACTATTCTTAACAGTGCCTGTGTTACTGCATCTATAGCTTTGCAATAAAAGTATAACCGTTCCTGAATGCGTGTACTTCGTTGTTAGCTGTGGGTTCTGACATCCCCCAGGTTTTTCGGTCCTTCCTCAGTCACAAACTGTGGGGTGGGGAGAAGGGTGGCAATACTCACCCGGGAGAATTTCACCTTTAGGGCACTCCCTGTTCCAACAATCACCGGCACTGACTGTGTTGGCCTGGTCTGGGACACTGAGGAGAGTTTGGCTGGCTGTCCGGTGCACCGTCCGCCTAGCGCACCAGCAGACAGCCTGCAGGGCCTCTTGGAGTGGGTTGCGGGCTGGGCTCTGGACTGCCCGAGACTGATCGTTCTCGGGGACTTCACTGTCCATGCCGACGCTGCGGACCTGGGGTCATCCATGGCGGCACTAGGACTCTCCCAGATTGTATCAGGTCCCACACATCAGGCAGGCCACACGCTAGACCTCATTTTGGGCACGGGGATAAATATGGATCTGGTAGATAAGGACAGCGTGCCGTGGTCAGATGCCACTTTGCCCTAAAGACCCGGATCCCAGCCCCCCTGTCTAGGTGATGAACGGATTTCTGCTCGCCTGTGGAGACTTAGAGATCCAATGGGATTCCAGAATGCTCTGCAGGATCCAGTGCCCTCCAGTGGCTCATTAGAAGCGCTAATAGAGGATTGGAATGCCCGTCTCTCTGAAGCTGTTTTTTTTTTTTTTTTAAGCCCCCGGAGGGGATTTTTTATTGATTTTTATCCACTACAAAAACTACAACAGAAAAGAAGGGAAGGGGAAAACTACACATACAGGAGAAAGTAAAGTACCCACTACTAACTAAAAACCCAAGAGAGGAGATCCTCCAACTAGCTTAGATACATCAAGTCTTCTCATCGTTGATCCCTTTATAAACTGAGTCAAACATTAATAGCCCTTTTCCCTTAGAGTTAAAATGTAACTGTCTAGTAACAGTACCCCCAATCATCCCAAAACCAGAGTTCTCAAAGGCACAATTCAGAGTCCTTCAGCCTTACTTCTTCTTTTCCCTTCTCTTCTGCAACTTATAAGGACTTTTTGGAGCTGCTGCCCCTTGCTCAGACAGAGAGTCCTCTCCGGAAATACCAGTTTCCAGCTCGCCACTGGACTTGCTGTCCTCTTCTTTTTTCTCGTCCTCTGACCTTCCCAGCTGTTCCTTTAAGAATTCTTGAGCTTTCAGAACAGAGTCAATCTTTTCCTTCTTCTCTTTAATCTTAAATGTTATGCCTTCTGGAAATAGACATTTATATCCAATTGAGTTTGTTTGAAGAAAAAGCACAAGTTCTTTGTATTTCTTTCTGCGTTCTTACTTCCAGTGGAATATCCTTTAGCGTTCTGATGGTATTCTCCCCTGCTTTCAGGGGTGTTACAGCCACCGCTTTCAGGATAGCATCCCTGACGTGCCTCTTCGAGAATCCTACTACAATTTCCCCAGGCAGATTATTTTTCTTTATATATCCTGAGTATGATCTCTAAGCCACACCCATATCGTTGAGCAGTGATTCCGCCTTTATTTCTGTTACTGGGGCTAGTAGCTCACTCATCAGTTCTTTAAGATTCTCCCCTCTGTTCTCTGGCACAACCAGGGACGTGCAGGACCATGTTGGCCTTCTCCATTTGGACTTGCCGGGTTTAGGGGCGGGGAGGTCGGTGGGGCCATGATGTTGCCTGCGCATTTCCTGTGAGAGCCTGGGAGGAACATACATAGGGTGGCTCTAGCAGTGGGCAGTGGGCCTTGGGGGTGGGGAGACCCTGATTCGGTCCCAAGGCAGAACCGGGGGAGCTTCCAGCATCCTGACGCTTTAGAGCGCTCCGGGCGGTCCCCCCAGTCTTCCCTTCCCCCCACTCTTCCAGCACCCTGCTTCTGACCTCAGATCAGCCCATAACAGGAACAGAGAAACCACAAATGTCTCCCCTACTTTCCAGAAAGGGTCCACAATGGCAACCCTCTCCTGGAATTCCAGGAAACCAAGTAGAACCACTGGGGTGGGGATGCCCGCTCTGGGTTGGGGGGAGGTGGACCCTGGGGAAGGTGGAGGTGTTGGCGGGAGAGCCCACCTTCCCAAGCAGCCATTTCCTCCAGGACAGCTGATCTCTGTTGCCTGGAGATCAGTGGTCATCGTGGGAGATCTCCAGGCCCCACCTGGAGGTTGGCAACGCTGATGTCTACCCTTCTAGGAGAGCCAGTTTGGTGTAGTGGTTAGGTGCGTGGACTCTAATCTGGGAGAACCGGGTTTGATCCCCCACTCCTCCACTTGCAGCTGGCTGGATGACCTTGGGCAAGCCGTAGTTCTGACAAGAGCTGTCCTTGAAAAAGAGCAGTTTCTGTCAAGAGCTCTCTCAGCCCCACCGACCTCACAGGGTGTCTGTTGTGGGGAGGGGAAGGGAAAGGAGTTTGTAAGCCGCTCTGAGACTCCTTTGGGTAGTGAAGGGCCATGGGGTATAAATCCCATCTCTTCTTCTTCTTCTTTTACCTCACAGGGTGTCTGTTGTGAGGAGGGGAAGGGAAAGGAGTTTGTGAGCCGCTCTGAGACACCTTTGGGTAGTGAAGGGCGGGGGATAAATCCAATCTCTTCCTCTTCTTCTTCTTCTTCTACTAGCCACCTAGTCACATTGGCTGGCACTCAGGGCTCCTTGTTTGGGGGGAATGGCCACCTGATTTATGTGCTTTCGTTTGACTCAAAGGGCTGTAGGACTCCTCGCATATTAAGCAGTTGTTTGGTCAGAGTACTACCTCCATGTCCTCGAGTGTCTCTGTGTGGAGTATATTGCCTACGATTCTCCTCCTCTCCGGGAATAGTTTTGGTGTGGTGCACTGTGCCTTATGTGGGGTGCTTCGACTTGGACAGTGTAAACCAGGGTCCCCAAACTTGTTGGGCTGTGGCTGCTTTTGGAATTTTGAGAAAGATTAGTGAGCCTTACCACACAGTGGCTGCCACAGGGGTGGGGGCCAAGCGCAAAACGTTGGGCGGTTTCGTGCCACGTGGAGATGTCACAAGCCAAGCATCCTCCGGTGGTGGAGGCAGCTGCCACCAAATGGGTTTTTCTGAAGAACCCCCTATTCGGAGGAGGAGGAGGAGGAGGAGGGAGGCAAGGAAGAACCCTTTCCTTGGGGGGGGGGAGAAGAGATGCTGTTTGCTTCAGGGTGGTGCCACTCTGCAATCGATCTCAGGACATTCCAGCACGAACGCTGTGTGGTACTCCAACATGCTATTCTGACATCACAGAGACTGTGCTTCTGTTCAGGACAAACTCGCTCCTAGGGGGGAAATGAGACCCTGCAGAGGAAAGACTGGTTAGACAGGCGGTGGCCTTGTCTGGAATCTGCAGGTGCACAATGTCACTGATTTCACTCCCTTTCACGGGCGCAGAGGCAGTTTCTAAAGGAAGGGGGAGGGTTTGCTTGCTGTGGAGCCAAAGGCCAGGCTCCGAGAGACCAGAAAACCCGTGTCTGTGGCCGAGCCAAAGGTGCGCAGCTGTGATGTGCCTGGCCAGGATGAGCTCAGGTCTCTCCTAGTCTGTTGGCTGGTAGGGAGCAATGTGGTGTTCCCTTCTGTTCCCCTGTTCCCCTGAAAACCCTTTGGATTTTGGTCCCAGAGCTCAAGAAGCCAGCGGGTGCTGGGAACACATCACGAGCGCCATGTTGGGGATCGCCGTTGAAAGTGGATGCCTGGAGAGGCCTGCCCGAAGGTCTGGGGCCTCCTCTTTGCTGACCTTGCCTTCCCCTTCTTCTCTCCCTGCAGTGGAGCTGCAAAAGCCAAGAGCATGGCCTATTTTGGGGAAGGGCACGGACCCATCCACTTGGGCAACGTGGAGTGCAGTGGCACGGAGCACACATTGGGGGAATGCGTCGTCCCTAAGAGAGGCCATCACAACTGCTGGCACAGTGAAGACGCGGGAGTGATCTGCAGCTACGTGGAAAGGGAGAGCCAGGCCATCAAAAATGCAGGTGTGTGCGTGGCGTGTGGTTCCCCTCCCCCTCTCCGGGAATTGCCCCTTTCAGAGGCTCCTCAGGGCCTGCAAAACGGAGCTCTTCTGCCAGACCTTTGGAGCCACCACCACCACCAGTACAACTACAAGCATTGATAGCGCCATTAATAACAACTGATAACCATGGTGGAAGCCCTGAGCCACAGGTCCCAGTGACTACTGCCTGGCCCAGCCCCCCTCCCTCCCTCCCACAATTGCAGCCGACCAATAGGACTAAAGTAAACACTGGAAGGGCTAGCACTTTAATATTGTCTGATTTTAATATTGTTTATACTATTGTGTTATTCATCAAGTAATGTATTGTATTATTTATTAAGAATTTTAGTACTGTTTTTATGCAGGGCTATTTTGGGGCAGGAACACACAGGAATGGAGTTCCAACTGGCTTCAAAGTTGGCCATGCCCACTACAGCCAAAACCTCTGCATGCATGACTACAGAGGGAAGGCCTGGAGAGCGACCCCCTGGCGACGGTCTTCTCTTATTTTTAGTCCTCTAACGCATATATCTTCTCTGATCATATTGTTCAATATTTCAAGTACAAATATAAATAATAACGGTGACAATGGACATCCTTGTCTAGTTCATTTTTTTAATTTCAATGTTTTGTGATAAATCCCCATTGATGAAACTCCCAGCTTGTTGTTTGGTATATATTGCTTTGACCATTATAAAAAATTCTTTAACAGCTATTCCAACATAAAGTTCCAACTGACATTATCAAATGTTTTTTTAGCGTCTAAGAAAATTAAGGCCATCTTTTTTTCTGGGTGAGCTTCAAAATATTCAGTAGCATTTACAACAGTTCTTACATTATTTCTAAGTTGTCTTTTTGGTAAAAAAAACCCTGCTTGATCTTGGTGAATTATCTGTGTCAATATTTTTTTCAATCTTGTAGCTAATACAGAGGCATACATTTTATAATACACATTTATTAGTGAAATTGGTCTATAATTTTTAATCTCTTTCTCATCCGAGTTTTGTTTATGTATCAAAGTTATTAAGGCTTCATTCCAAGTTTCTGGTATCCTACCATCTGTTCTTATACTCTGTATAGGATATTTTAAGGGTAATGTCAGTTGATCTTCAAACACATGGTAAAATTCTGCCGGTATATCATCAGGACCTGGTGTCTTCCCCCCCTTTTTTTGCTTCTTTATTGCTTCATTAATTTCACAGGTTGTTACTTGATCATTTAGGATTTTCCTTTGTTCTTAATTAAATTGGTTTAAATTATATTTCTTTTAAATATCTTTAATCTCAGGGGGCGATAGGTGGCGCTTGACTAAAATGGCTGGCTAAACTTTGAACTCTGCTGTTTTTTCCCCCCTGTTCACCTCAAAGATCGAACAGACATACAATCCGGGCAACCACTGAATGGAAAATGACCGCGGAACAACCAGGCAATCAAACCCAAAGAAATATAAAGTGACACAGAGCCCTAGAGACCAAAAAAACCCTCAACTTCTTTTTCGGGGCCGATAGATTCATACCTCCACAAAACGGCGGCGAAAAATAGTGGCGTTGATAGAGCGATGGTTCCTGTCACTGCAACAGACTTAACAACTGCTTTAACGGCGCTGGAAAACAACTTCTTTGAAAAAATCTCCCCGCTAATCAAACCAATTTATGAAAAACTAGATAGCCTACAAGAGAATCTGAAGGAAACAAGAAGCATTGCTGACGGGGCGATCAACAATAGCCTCGCAAACCACAACGAGATTCAACATATGCAGATTGCGGAAGACATGCAAGCCGAGAAAACAATAAGAATTGACCTCTCTCTTTACCAAAATAATCTGAAATTGAGAGGGCTGGGTGAGAAAATAGAGGAAAAGGGAGATCTGACAACCAACATCTCTAACTGGCTTGCCCAGCAAGTAAAAACCGAGGGGAATCAATCCCCAGTCATAACAAAGGCTTACGCTTAGGCCCTCTCTCCATATTGAAAACGAGACCATCCAGAGACATATTGATAACACTACTTGACCTGAGATATAAGAAAAGAATTCTAATGGCAGCAAGAAGGAAGGGACATCTAACCTATGAAAATGGAGACATTGAAGTCTACCCAGACCTGCTGAAGGAAGTGCTACAGAAACGGCGGGAGATGAAACCTGTAACGAGCCGTCTCCTTGAAGCAAACATCAAATATACATGGATTTTGCCACTCATCATGCAGATCTCACACAAAGGCAAACTCTACAAAATCTCACACCCAGAAGAAGGACTCCGACTGCTTCAACAAATGGACCTTGAAATCCCGATGAAGCGGCTCAGAAGAACACAAAAAAGATCGTCTGCGTCTCTCTCTCTCCGCCTCCGAGAGATCCACGACAAGCACCTCGTTCAGAGACGCCGAACTGATAAGTACTCTGAAAAACTCTCAGGATCTAACTGATATGGAAATGCTGTAATAATAAGTTAAAAGAGTTTACCCCTATGCAGAAAAAATTGTTGAAGTTGTTGCTTAATATTACATGTTACTTGAAAGTTAAAATACCGCCGATACACATCATGAGTTTGCAAGGTGGGAAAAGAGACGGGCGGGAGTAACGGGTTACTTGCACATAAGACTCCTTACAATGTTCTTTCTACGCACTGTTAATGTTCTTTAAAGTATTAGATTGTATGGTATTTGCATCAAATTACAATGGTTTATAATGATTATAGTTGGATTTTAACATTTTTCGAGGTGGGCGGGGAGAGGGGGGAACACCGGGAGAGTTTAAACAAGCCCAAATGGTTCTACTGACTCGAGAAGCAGAGAGCTGGAAGCCAGGGACACGCAACAGAAGCCTTCCAGCCTTCCGTGGAATAGATCACCCCACGGAAGTTATTCGAGTTATTTTATTTTCCTTATTTTAGAACACCCAGTCAACTGTTTGAATCTTGATCTTTATTGCACTGATTCTGAATTAATTTATAATATATTAATTGCCTGAATTTTAATCACCTTAGCGAGAATTAATTGATAAACACTGTGCCTGATTTCATCTATTTATTTCCTTATCACACTAATCAATTGTGGGGACAAATTATTAGTGCAGCTCATATTTAAGTCTAATCAGAAGGGGGAAGGGAATTGAACAGACCTAAACAAAAATAAAAACAAACAAAACACAGCAAGGAACAAACCAACACTTAAAATTCATCAAATTGTGTATTGTTTCATTATCATACAATAATCTTAACATACATAAGAACATAAGAGACGATGTTGGATCAGGCCAAAGGCCCATCCAGTCCAACACTCTGGCACACAGTGGCCAAAAATGCGAGGTGCCATCAGGAGGTTCACCAGTGGGGCCAGAACATTAGAAGCCCTCCCACTGTTGACCCCCCCCCCAAGCACCAAGAAGACAGAGCATCACTTGCCCCAGAGTCCCTATCTATACCTTGTGGCTAATAGCCACTGATGGACCTCTGCTCCATATGCTTATCTAATTCCCTCTTGAAGCCGTCCATGCTTGTAGCCGCCACCACTTCCTGTGGCAGTGAATTTCATGTGTTAATCACTCTTTGGGTGAAGAAGGACTTCCTTTTATCTGTTCTAACCTGACTGCTCAGCAATTTCATTGAGTTCTTATATTGTGAGAAAGGGAGAAAAGTACCTCTTTCAGGTCGCACCATTGATTTATATAGCGGCATTATGATATTGGCTGATCTGTTTACAATACCCTTCCTAATAATCCCCAGCATAGCATTGGCCTTCTTTATTGCAGTCACACACTGTCTCGACATTTTCAGTGAGTTATCTACTACAACTCCAAGATCTCTCTCTTGATCTGTCTCTGCCAGTTCAGACCCCATCAATGTGTATTTATATTTAGGATTTTTGGCTCCAATGTGCATCACCTTGCACTTGGCCACATTGAACCCCATTTGCCATGTTGACGCCCACTTGCCCATCTTTGACAGATCCCTTTGGAGTGCCTCACAATCCTCACTGGTTTTCACCACCCTGAACAACTTCGTATCATCCGCAAATTTAGCCACTTCACTGCTTACTCCCAACTCCAAATCATTAATGAACAAGTTAAAAAGCAGTGGACCAAGTACTGATCCCTGTGGTACCCCACTGCTTACCCCCCTCCACTGGGAGAACTGCCCATTTATACTCACTCTCTGTTTTCTATTAATTAGCCAGTTTTTGATCCATAAAAGGACTTGTCCTTTTATCCCATGATTTCTGAGCCTTTGATGAGGAACTTTATCAAAAGCTTTCTGGAAGTCAAGGTAAACAATATCTATTGGATCCCCCTTGTCCACATGTTTGTTCACCCCCTCAAAGAACATTAACAGGTTAGTGAGACAAGATCTTCCCTTACAGAACCCATGTTGAGTCTGCCTCAATAGGTTTTGTTCATCTATGTGCCTACTAATTCTTTCCTTAATAATGGTTTGTTTGTCGTTATGCCTTTCAATTTGACCTTCCTTTGGTTAAGCCACATACTGACATTAATTTGTTTTAAAAAATGTATAATTTTTTAAAAGTTCAATAAACTTCTATATAGTTTTTAATAAATAAATAAATAAATAATGGTTCCCACCAATTTACCCGGTATCAACGTCAGAATGACTGGCCTGTAATTTCCAGGATCTCCTCTGGAACCCTTTTTAAAGATGGGAGTGACATTAGCTACCTTCCAGTCCTCAGGAATGGAGGCAGATTTTAAGGAAAGATTACATATTTTTTGTAAGGAGATCCAGAAGGGGCATAGGGACACCATTTGGTCATACAAACTATAAAAACACCTTCTAACTGTGTAAATCGAAGAGGTAGTTGCTGAGTGCTATTTGAGACAGGGAACAAGCAGCTTTTGTTGTTGTTGTTCAGTCGCACAGTCGAGTCCGACTCTTCGCGACCCCATGGACCAGATCACGCCAGGCCTTGAAATCGAGCTCCATCTTATTAAAGATAGTGTATAGTGACATCTTGTGGCCATTTTTGAAATTGCTCGCATAAGAAAATAATACAACACCTACACAAATATTCCTAATACATTAATTCTCTTGGACTCTAAACATAAAGGGGAAACATCTTACCACAGGAGTCTTAAAGACACCTATAGAAAGGAGAAAGCCTAACATAGATTCTCACATCCAGAGTCACAAATTAATCTTGCAGACTGGTGACAACCCAGAGGGAAACTCCTTGTAAAAACCAAAATCTTGGGTTCTACAATCCTACAACTTACAAAATACTGTCCTCAAACGTGAGAGGTCTGAATAATAATATTAAATGCAAATGTGTACTCACTAACATTTTGAAACAAAAACCAGCTATTGTACTCCTCCAGGAAACCCATCTTTAAAAAACGGAACTTTCGGTCTTTAACATGTCTATGTTTCAATCTCAATATACTGCAGCGGGAACTTCTAAGTCCCGAGGGGTGGCAGTACTCATTTCTACAAATCTCAGATTCACTTTCATCTCTAAACAGCAGGACTCGGTGGATAGATACCTTTTTGTAAAAAGACGCATAGATGACTCAGTAGTAACCATAGCAACGATTTATGCACCAAACAGGACAACTAGAATTTATTGCAGACACTTTTTCAAAACTGCAAACTTGTGGAAGGTGATGTGGTGATAGGAGGTGACTTAAACTTTATTATAGATAACACAATGGATAGGTCACATCATACACCTACCTCTAAAAGATGTAAGAAACGCTGCACCAAACTGGCAGAACTCCTAAAAGAATATAGGCTAACTGATACATGGCGAGTGTTCCATCCAGGAGAGAGAGATTACACCTATTATTCAGATAGGCATAATGTCCACACCCAATAGACTATATTTTGACATCACCAGTCTTGAATACTCGGGTCATTTCATCTTCAATTATACCATCTCAGTGTTCTGACCATGCCTGGTCAGAATGTACACATCTAAACTCCAGAGGACTTGGACCCTTAATACATTCTTGTTAAATAATCCAGACTTTAGACAAGATGTAGAAAAAAAATTAAAACTTTATTTTGAGGAAAATAATACAGAAGATATTCCTCCATTGACATGTTGTGATGCGATGAAGCCCACTTTAATTCTTAAATAAACTATGTATCTTGAAGAAATTGTTTAGAAAGAAACTATTGACCTAGATAGACGCTATGTGATATATGGTACAATTAAGATGCCACAGTATGAAATGTAATCTTCAAATTGCACAATCATGTAACTATTTTAATCTCGCTAAATTTTACGGTTTCACAGTTTTTCTATTTTTAATGTTCTGTATTTTGTAATGATATTTTTCTCAATAAAATCAAATTATAAATTAAAAAAACTTTAATCTCCTCTGGCATGGCTTCTCTTTTTTGGTATAGTTTTCTATAAAATGCTTCAACTATTTTTTTAGATCATTAGGTATAGTTTTTTTCTTCTCTTTCATTATCCTTAAGAGTTTTTATATATCTTTTTTTTCTTTTTCTTAGTTTATATGCTAGCCATCTGGTTGGTTTATTGGCATTTTCAAAGAAATTTTGTTTTGCATATGTGATTTTTGTTAGCTATTTTTTCTGTCATCTGACAATTTAGTTAACATTATAAGAGCTTTAATTTCATTCTTGAATGATCAGCTGAGGTATCTTGTTTCAAATTTTCTCCCTGCTTCCTGATCTGTTCCTTAGTTTGTAAGAATTTTTCCATCTTTTGCTTTTTCATATGTGCGGCTTCTCTAATTACACAGCCTCTGGCGTAAGCCTTGAATGCATCCCATACAGTTCTGATAGAAATATCTGTTTGTATATTTTGTTTAAAGAACATTTGGAATTCTTTTTTTTGCCTCTTTTACAAATTTTTCATTCTTCAATAAAAATGTGTTCAGAGTCCATCTATTTTTCTTTGGTGTATCTTGTAGTATGAGCATAACAGGATTATGGTCTGCAAATGCTGTTGGTAAAATTTCCATTTCTATTAAGTCATTTATAGTTGTTGAGGAGATCCAACACATGTATAATCTTCCTTTTTGGGGTTTCTAGTTTTCCAAGAATCAATCATGTCGTGTTCTTCTGCCAGTTGCAAAAATGTATTAGGAAGTTCATTGCCTTGCTTCTGTTTTCCAGTAATTGTCTTTCTATCTGAAAGTCTATCAAAAACAGCATTATAATCTCCAATCAAACAAATTTCATCATAATTTTGTTTGGAAATAAGTTTCTGGAGCAGTTTATACATTTTTGCTTGATATTGGTTGGGTGCTTAACTGTTTCCTCTTTGTCAACAGGTTCAATATTGGGCACGTGTGGCTGGCGCTTGCTTCATCACCGCAAAAAGAGGATAATTGGTGGGAAGAAATCTCTCAGGTACCTCACTTGCCTCTGGTAGCCCGGGAAGGCAGAGCAGTGTTGACCCAGGTTCAGCACATATCCGTTGCCAGGCCACCCCCAAGTATTTATTCCCCTCCAGAAGCCTGCTCCCTGATTCAGCAGGCTGACGGGGCCTCTGGACACTTGTCCACTCGGAGTTCAGCTACCCTGTCCTGACGCACCCGTTCCGCTTCTCAACATCTCTGGCACTGGGAAGGGGAGAACGGAGGCTGGCCAGGTCTCCTGCTGTGCTGGAAGACCTCTTGCTGGCAACCCCTGCTACCCGCTGCCTCCGGGAAGGGTGGTAAGCGGAAAACTTTCTTAAAAGTGTGTTGTGCACAGTGTGATGACATTTCCCAGGAAAACCCGGAAGTGACATCATGTTGCTCTAGGAATCACCAGAAGAGCCAGTTTGGTGTAGCAGTTAAGAGCGCAGACTCTAATCTGGGAGAACCGGGTTTGATTCCCCACTGCTCCACATGCAGCTGCTGGTGTGACCTTGGGTCAGTCATAACTACTCTCAGAACTGTTCTCTCAAGGGCAGTTCTCGAGAGAGCTCTCTCAGCCCCACCTACCTCACAGGGTGTCTGTTCTGGGGAAGGGAAAGGCGATTATAAGCTGCTCTGACACTCCTTCGGGTAGTGAAGGGTGGGGTATAAATCCAGCCTCCTCCTCCTCTTCCTCTTCTTCTTCCAGTTTGCTGTAGTGGTTAAGTGTGTGGACTCTAATCTGGGAGAACCGGGTTTGATTCCCCACTCCTCCACTCGCACCTGGCTGGATGACCTTGGGCAAGTCATGGTTCTGCCTTGAAAGGGCAGTTCTCTCATCAGAGCTCTCTCAGCCCCACCCACCTCACAGTGTGTCTGTTGTGGGGAGGGGAAGGGAAAGGAGCTTGTAAGCCGCTCTGAGACTCCTTCGGGTAGTGAAGGGTGGGGTAGAAATCCAATCTCCTCCTCCTCCTCCTCTTCCTCCTCCTCTCAGCCCTGCCTACCTCACAGGGTGTCTGTTGTGGGGAGGGGAAGGAAAAGGAGATTGTAAGCCGCTCTGAGACTCCTTCGGGTAGTGAAAGGCCATGGGGGATAAATCCAATCTCCCCCCCCCCCAAGTGACATTGTGGCTCATGTGATGCCGCTGCCTTCCCATGTCCCTTATGCTGTTTCTTCCAAGGGTCTCATTAACCGTTGCACAGTCCTTGTGCCTGCCGTATCCCTTCTAATGATGAGGCTCCTCCCGGCCTGCCTCTGGCTTCTTTTTTGCCAGAACCGAATAATGAGCGATCCAATGAAACCGACTAGCCTTTGTTCACAACCGAATGTTAATTGCAAAGGGGCGGCGGTTTCAGTCTTTCCTGGAAAAATAAAACCGAAGTCCAGTGGCCCTTGAAAGACTGCCATTGAATTCAACGTTGCTAGTCTGCCGGGTGCCACTGGACTTCCGTTTCATGTAAATGAATGTTTGCCTATTCATCGTGCCATTATTTTAATGGTCCTCTAATTACGTGTTGTTCGCGTGGCAATCAGAGACACGGAGGGGACTTCTTGCTATGCTTGCCAGAGGTCTTACTTTTGGGAATCAAAGCCTCATCTCCCATTGGAAGAACAGCACTTAAATTATTCTAAGGGATCAGTATGTGATCTGTGACGAAGGGAGCTTTGACTCCCAAAAGGTTATACCCTGAACGTCTTGTTGTGCGCTCCTGACATTAAAGTTGTGAGCGAGCGATTTGGCTGCTGCATAATTTAGTTTGCTCTGGAGCCCTCCTTCCTGAGCGAAGACAACAAGGTGTCAGCCAGTGTTCCCTCTAAGCTGAGTTAGTGTGAGCTAGCTCACGGTTTTTTAGCCTCCAGCTCACACATTTTTGTCTTCGCTCAGGAAGGATGGGGCTCCAGAGCAAACTAACTTATGCAGTAGCCAAATCCCTCGCTCACCACTTTAATGCCAGGAGCTCACAAAGTAAAATTTTTGCTCACAAGACTCCACAGCTTAGAGGGAACATTGGTGTCAGCCGGAAGCTAAAAAACTGTGAACTAGCTCACACTATCTCATCTTAGAGGGAACACTGTTCTGAAACGATATACTCCTAGATCTCTACATTTGATGCCAAAAAGATAAAATGAAAGCCTTACTCTTTAGAGGTCTGGCTCTTGTGGCTCCAGTTTGGCAAGCAGTTTCCTTCCCAGTTGGAGCAAACGGCAGGGAGAAGAGCCTTCCTGCTCCGGACGGCCTCTTCAGGTGCGGATGGCGTGGCCCTCCCTTCACGAATCTGACAGGGCCACGGAAGAGCCACGGGTTGACACAAAGCGCGTGGGTTGTCTGGTGTGTACTGAGACCCCAGGTGAGCCGAGGGTGGGCAGCAGAGGGGGGGTGAGCTCCCTGCGTGCCCGCCCGGCCGGCCCTTTGCGGTTCTGTCGCTGGCACGGCTTCCCCGTCTCTCTTCCAGAGGCGGCTGGCCCTGGCAGGTCTCGCTGCGGCTGAAGGGCTTTCACCGGGACGCTCGCTTGCTGTGTGGAGCCACACTGGTCAGCAGCTGCTGGGTGGTGACGGCGGCGCACTGCTTCAAAAGGTAACGCAGAAGCACAGTTGGAGGGCGGGAGGGCGAGGCATTGGGTTGCCAGCTCTGGGTTGGTATTCAAAGCTGCCTTGAATGCATGATATGTTGTGAAACAACTAATGGAAGTGTAATGTAAAGCTTCGTCCTGGGCTAGGATCCAAATCCATCCAATCGTGTCACTAGCCCAGGAAGCACCTAACCAATCACCTTCTAGCAAGCTCCCTGAGCGGGAACATCCGTGATTGGTCCTTATGTGAACAACCTTATTGGT